CATCAACCCAGCACCACCCCTAAACCACGTCCTCAGTGCCAAAAAAACATATTTGCTTCCTAAGACGCATTAAAGGATCTCCAAAATGAGAATCAGAGCCTGAAATCTCCAAAATCCATTGTGGAAGGAAGTCCACACTCCAGAAGAAACTCAGAGGACTGAAGCAGAGAGAAGCTTTGCTGTGCAGAACCTCCCAAGCAGTGCAGAAATCCAACCCAGAGTGTCCAGAGAACTGAAATGCTCCATTCACCCCCTGTATTCCCAGGCTGAACACAGGCAGGGACAGAGCAGAGTTGAGAAAACCCGTGATTTCAAGCAATAATATGGATGTTCATCTCCAGTCCACACAGACTGCACAGCCCAAAGGCACAATATGCTGTAGCAAAGCTTGTATTTTGTGGGCTTGATGGCTGAGTCTTTCTGATTATGTGCATTGACCCTAAATGTCCATTTAATTTGCCTTCAAAGAAGGAACAATAGTAAAGCTGCTGCTGTCTGAACAAAAGATGATTAAGGAAAGAGTGTTGGATTTTTTTTAAATTCCTTGATTATTATGGAAATGTGCCTTTTAGAGTCTGAACAGAGCTGGTTTAGTGAGAAGTTCCAAGCTTATTTTATGGTTGAAAATGTGATTGTGACATTTAATATGAGGTAGGTCAGGCAGAATGAGGCAGAGGCCGTGTCCCCAGTGCCAGTGATGAGACAGGGATGATAACTCCTGGTCAGGGCAGCCCCATCTGCCAGGAATTGTTCCAGGTGGAATCACTGTGGGTCACCTGTGTTTGAAATATCAACTTTATTTGACTCTCAAGCTTCAGCCTGCAGCCAAACTCTGTGTTACCTGAAGGACAGTGTTTGCCCAGTTAAGCCCAGCACGGGCTTGCTCCTGCAAAACTCTGGAAAGCCCCAAGAAACAACACAAAGAGGCAAAGAATTTCAAACATGTCTTGGGCCTGGATGAAGATTTTCTGCTTGGTCACCCTGCAGGAACTACATAAATCCACCATGCAGAATGGTGGGAGGGAGAGGAAGGGAGAAACCAATGTCCCATGTGGAAATTTGGCAACTATCCCAATGAAACTGAGATGTCTTCACTCCCTGTTCCACAGCACAGGGAAAATACCCCACAAAGACCACAATCAAACAAGAGACATAACCTCAGCTCCAGCAAGGTATGAGTCAAATACAAAACTTGGAGAATATTTTAACCAATTCCAGAAAACAAATCCCACCCTGCTGAATCAGGTCCAAACCCAGCACACTTCCCATCTGCTGATAAATGGGAGCAGAGATGGGAGAACTCACATCTCCTTGGGATGCTCTTCCTTCCCTCTCACTGCAAACCCAAGCAGGTGTTGGACCTGTTGCCACGTCAGTGTTTTCTGGCAGGTCTGGGAGCTCTCCCACCCCAGCACAGCTCTGCTGATGGTCTTATAAACCTTAAAAACTACTGTAGCATCTCAGTGTCCTTTACAAGCCATAACCACAAACCCCAGAGGGTGTTCTCATTCTAGAAGAGCTCCCCAAGTCAGTACCTGCAGAACTCTCTGTGTCTGGGGCCTTTCTCCTCACGTATGGCCAAACTTTTGTTTACCAAGTGCCACAAGAACCCATCTGAAGGGCAGAAAAGCTTTTAGAGGAGATAAGGGGTGGTGATTTCCCATGGTTCAGGTACCTTGATTCCTCCCCAGGAATGGTCAGACAGGAACTCCACAGGGCTCATGACTCCAGGCTCTGCTGGGTATCTCAGCAGGAAATCCAGCTCTGCTGGGTTGATTTCTTTACTCATCAGGAGTATCTGTAATTCCAAACAAACAAGATATCCTTGAGCAGCAGTAGAATCCAGCAGATTGATTATTCAACTCGTGTGCCTGCCAAATGTGTGGCTAAAACGTACTCAGAGCCCCGTGTTGGAGAGGTGTGATGGACATACCATGTAGGTGCTTGGGATCTCCCCAAAACAGGAACAGGAATGAGGATGGAGACTGGCAACAGAAGAGGAATAAAGCTGGGAAAACTGTGTGGCAAGTGCTGTGATCCAGGTGGATGGGAGCACCCCGAGGAGCAGTCCCTGCCAGTCTGCTGCAGGTCCCTGGGCTGGGATCCACAGCTGGAGAGCAGAGAACTTCCTTAAGAGGAACCAGAGCATCCTTCGGGAATGCTACCAGAGGGCTGGCCATCTCTCACTGCCTGGTTCAATTTATAAACCAAGTGGAGACAAACTGAGAATGCTGGGAAAAATAAAAACCAAGCAAACAGCAAAAACAACAAACCAAAATGACCACCACCCTCCTGGTTCCTGCAGCAAAAGAATAAGCAGGTCCATGAGGTCTCAAACACTGCAGAGCACCTGGGACATTCCAGTGTTTTTAGAACCAGTGGTGGCTTTCAGGAAGAAATGGAGTAAGACTGGCAGAGCCATGGTTGAGGTCATTCTGGAAAGCCCAGCTGGGGCCACTGCTCCAAGTGCAATGCCAGAATTCTGAAATCCCAAACTCCAAAACCCTGAACACCAGTTCTGGGAGGAGGGGAAAACCAGTGCTGGAGCAGGGAGTGTGTGATTTCCTTGTCACGGATCCTGGTTTGTATGCAAATGATGTCAAAAGGGCAGTGCCACCTCAGGTGTGCCTGGCACCCCTCCTGCCACTGAGGGCACGAGGGACTCAGTTTAAGAACCAACTGGTTTTTTTCTGTCATTTTTTCACTGACACTGGGGCTGCTGCTTTTCCTGACACAGAAAAGGACCCATTAATTGCTTTCAGTGTTTATTGTAGTTACAAGCACGATGTGTGGTACTGAAACACTTTGTTTAGAGACATATGCTAAAAAATGTAGGCGTCCTGTGGGTCAGAATTATGGCCAATGTTGCAAAATGTAACCTGACTTTTTACACATAATTTATTAACAAAATATCCTATTAGTCTCTTTTTTTATAAATGTGTATATATACACTTTCCCTTTTACACACAGTATTTTGTTATGTAGAATTAAAAGAAGTCTTGGCCATCCCAGGATCAAGGTTAACCAGCCCTGCAGTTGGATCTTGGTTCAGATCTGCATTCCTGGAGGTATTTTCCAAACTTATTTTTTCTGTGATTCTACAGGTCAGGGCATTTCCACAGTCATTCACTGCACAAACTTCATATCGGTTCACAACATCATTCCAAGCACTATTTATTGATTGGATTTGATGTTAGCACAGGGATAATACACAAACGTCTCCTTGCTCAGGTCATGGACTAAAAATTATACAAAATACTGGACATGGTAGAGCAGCTGTGTAGGAAGAATTTCTTTGGGATAAAACCCTTCCAGGTCAGTATGTTTTGCCCTGTTTTCCAGGTCCTGCCAGCAACTGTCTCAAACAACCTTTGTCAGCACAGTTCAAATCCAACTCATCACCTCTGCCTGTTATTGGTGAGAGTCAGTCCTGTGAGGAGCAGCTGAGGGAGCTGGGGGGGCTCAGCCTGGAGAAAAGGAGGCTCAGGGGGGACCTTCTGGCTCTGCAATCCCTGACAGGAGAGGGGAGCCGGGGGAGGGGTCGGGCTCTGCTCCCAGGGAACAGGGACAGGAGGGGAGGACATGGACTTAAGTTGCACCAGGGGATGTTCAGGTTGGACATCAGGAGGAATTTCTTGCTGGAAAGGGTGGTCAGACCTTGGCAGGGGCTGCCCAGGGAGTGGGCAGAGTGGAGTCTCCACCCCTGGAGGTGCCCAAGGCAGGCCTGGCCGTGGCACTCAGTGCTCTGGGCTGGGGGACAGGGTGGGGATGGGGCACAGGGGAGATCCATGGGCTGGGAGGGCTTTTCCAGCCTCACATGGGATTCTGAACCTTGCTGACACGCTGCCCCCCATGGTGTGTTACCTGGAAGGTGAGCTGGGCAGTGTAGGTCAGCCTGTCAGCCTGGAAGAGCCCCCGGGCCGTGTACTGGCACACGCAGAGGGTGATGCTGTCGCTGAGGTTCCTCACACGCCCCGCCAGCCCCTCAGCCGGAGCCGCCCTCTCCATGGCCTTCTGGAACACCTTCTGGAACGCCTTGGGGGGACACACAGCGGGACAGGTAACTCTGAGACCCCCTTTGCATCCCCCCGAACTAGAGATGTCAGTCTCATGGAACATCTAGAGACCAGCCCCTGTATCTGCCCGTAGCTGCTCTCCAGGAACACAGAGCCTGGCAATGGTGACATCCCCCGTGACACTGAGCTCTCCAGAGCCCAGGAAAGCAGCACAGAGACAGGTAGAGGGAACTCAGGCACTGGGGATACAGGAAATGCTTCTCTGACCAATGTGCTCCCACAGGGACCCTTGTCCTTCAAATATTGAGCTAGCATAGAGTGGAGATCCCACAGGACACATGGAATCACAGACTGCTTTGGGTTGAAAGGGACCTAAAAGCTCATCCAGTGCCACCCCCTGCCATGGGCAGGGACACCTTCCACCAGCTCAGGTTGCTCCAAGCCCCGTCCAACCTGGCCTTGGACACTTCCAGGGATGGGGCAGCCACAGCTTCTCTGGGCAACCTGTGCCAGGGCCTCCCCACACCCAAAGGGAAGGACTTCTTCCCAATATTCCACCTGAACTTGCTCTCTGGCAGTGGGAAGCCATTCTCCCTGGTCCTGTCTCTCCATTTGTTGTTCAGAATGCCTCTCCAGCTCTCCTGGAGCCCCTTTAGGCACTGGAAGAGGCTCTCAGGTCTCCCTGGAGCCTTCTCCTCTCTAGCTGAACACCCCCAGCTCTCCCAGCCCAGCTCCAGAGCAGAGGGGCTCCAGCCCTGGCAGCATCTCTGTGGCCTCCTCTGGTTCTGCTCTAACAGATCCACATCTTTGCTGTGCTGGAGACCCCAGAGCTGGACATAAAATTGCAGGCAGGGTGTCACAACAGTGGAGCAGAGGAGGAAAACATAACTCCCATTGTGCCAACGTTTCAACTCAGAGAAAAGCAATTGCTCTAAATAATAAGAATTTCAAGAAGTCCCATGAGCATTTTACTGTCTGGATGCAGCCAAGGACTGGCTGAGAAGAGCAGGGAGCAGCATCAGTGGGAAGTTCACTGGGGATGGGGACCTGCATGGAGAACAACTCTCTTATGTAAGAGAATAAGGGTTCTTGAAAGAACATTTCTTATCTGAATGTGAAAAGACATAAATCTTTCAGAGCCATCCAAGAAAAAACATTTGCAAATTATCAAATGCAACTGGAAAAAGGAAGTGGAAAAGAAAATAAAACCCAAGTCCTGCTTAGCAATGCAAAGGCTCTGTAAGCTGGGCCCAGCTAAAGGAAATAACCATGGATGGCACAGATTGGCCAAGGCATGACTGTGTTGGCAGCGTTATTTTTGGGGTTCTACAAAGGAAAAATGATGCTTCGACAAATTAAAGTAACGCTGATACCTAATGCATTATTAATAATTGCAGAATGCGTTTTCCTGCTTAACATTTCTTTAAATTCTGTTCAAACATGCTGCAGAGCAGCATATAAATCCTCGTGTTCTAATTTATAATGGGTTCCCAGCTGTGTGGCAAGTATTCTAAAATCATTTCTGTGCATCTTTACACAATGTTTTATGATCTGTCATCAAAATTTATTAGATAAAAACATTTCACCCAATAACTTTTCATGTATTTATACGCTCTGCTAATATTAACTGGAAAACATAAAACAAACTAACTATGGAAGATGCAGATTAAAGGTGAAGCCTCAGGAACCCCTGTATCTGTTATGTATGTGGAGGGAATGAATCTTTCAAAAGGCACAAAATATATTCTGTACATTTTTCTGATAAAATTACTCCAACAAACGAGTTGTGGATATAAAAAAGAGAAAAGCTTCTTTGTGGATCAGGCTCAACATATTGTAGTCTCTCCTCAATTCCTTTTTCCAGGTCACTTGTCAAGGTAAGAAATCATTTGGAAGAAGTCCTAGGCTAGGACTCCAACCCATTTAACCCTCCAGTCCCCAAAGTACCTTTCTTGGGATATAAAAAGGTCTTCCATTTATTAAAGCATTAAACTGGAATTCTTTCTAGATGGGCTTGGAGCAACCTGGGCCAGTGGAGGGTGTCCCTGCCCACGGCAGGGGTGGAACTGAATGAGCCTTAAGGTCCCTTCCAACCCAAACCACTGTGTGATTCGGTGACCCTCAGTGAGAGAGAGCAGCTCAGAGGGCACAGCACCTTCAGGGAGAACTGGTACATGGGGTGGATGTTGTGGAGCTGGTCCATGGTGAAGTAGAGCAGGGAGGCCCTCGCGGCCGCGGGCCTGTAGTGCTCCCTGGCCTCGTTAATCTTGGCTTCTGTCACCTTGAACTCCTGCACCTGGAGGGAAACACAGAGCAGGATTGGTGTGAGAACACCCCTGTGCAGCCCAGGGAAGGTGGACATGGGTCACAAAGTCCTCAGGGCAGCAGTGGGCAACCCACACACGAGCAGGAGCAGCCCTTGCCCCCCGGCACATGGTGCAGCCAGGCTTGAGCTGCCCCCTCCAGCACCCCCTGCTCTGGAACCTTCCCATTTAACTGCATTTTCCTTTCAGCTGCCCAATTCTCCGTTTTCCTGAGTCCCCTCCAGACCACTCCCTGGATTCCCTGCTCTTCACTGACTGGAATTGTTTTTCTCAGCAATGAGTTTCTCCTGCTAATTGCCCCCTCCTGGGCAGGTCATTAATAGCACAGGGCCCAACAGCCCCAGTTCTCCTCTTAGGCAGCTTGCCCAGGGCTGGGAGATGCTCATTTATCCCAGCTCTTTGCTGCCTTTCCTCAGTAGCACTGAACACACCCCACCTTGCTGGTCAGGGCTGCAGCTGCTGTGATGGACATGTAGAAATCTTTTTTGGCAGAAACACCAGCCCGTCATCGTCTCGGTTTGTTCTTTCATTCCACTTCAGCAGCACAAAGTGACATTCTCGAGCCCCTCAGGGGTTATTTCAGGCTCTTTTGTCCACAGACATGTCTTGTACATGGCCAGGAACTGCTGAGCCAGAGCTGATCCAGCCAGCTCAGCAAAGCATGCTGTGGGATCACAGAACCGTGGAATGCTTTGGGTGGGAAGGGACCTTAAAGCCCATCCCCCATGGGCAGGGACACCTTCCACCAGCCCAGGTTGCTCCAAGCCCTGTCCAACCTGGCCTTGGAAACTTCCAGGGATGGGGCAGCCACAGCTTCTCTGGGCAACTTGTGCCAGGGCCTCTCTATCCTCACAAGGAAGAATTTCCTCCTAATTTCCAACCTAAGCCCACTCATTTGCAGCTTAAAACCATTCCCCCTTGTCCTGTCACTGCAGGAAGTCCCTCTCTGTTCCTCTCGTTGCTTTCTGTGGCAGAGCAGGGCTCAGCACACACTGCACAGGCAAGGCGGGCATCACACAGCCCCTGAAACACATGCCATGGGGTCCCCTGAGCTGGTGGGAGCACACCTGGCTGGAGCCCAAGGAAGCCCAGACTGAGCCTCAATCTGCTGTGTGCAAACATCAGCACCCCACAGCACCCCACAGCACCCCACAGCACCCCACAGCATCTGTGTGCTGAACCTTTCTGCACGTGCCCATGATCAGAGCTGGACTGATTCATAATTCCAGTCAAATATAAACCAGGGGTGGGGCAGACAATTGCTTTCCATAAACAGATCAGAGAGGAACTTCCATAGGAAGGAAAATGCTGCATGAACTTTTTTTTTTTTTTTTTTTTTTGGTATACAGAACAGCAAACCTCTGACAGGGCTCTGCAAACTCCAAAACTCATCCCTGCTGGCACTGACCATCTGTACAACCACAGCTGGTTTAGAAGCTGGAGCACATCAAGAACACCCACTTCAAGAGGGAGATGCCAAGCTTGGCAGGTCAAAACATCCCTTCAACACCTCCTTTGGGGGTTCAAGCAAACCCTCCTCAGACAGCAAAATACATCTGATGTACCACAAACGGCTCCCAGAAATAACTCCTGGTCACTGAGGCTCCAACACAGGGAAGTAAAAGGCAGTTCCAGCCCAACCCCATCACGTGGGTGACTGACCCCCAGCAGGTGAACAGGGAGAGGGCAAGTGTGGGCTGTGAAGATGGGAGATGGTGGAGTCCCCAATTCTGGAGGTGTCTGAGGAACAACTGATGTGGCACTCAGTGCTCTGGGCTGGGTGGCAAGGTGGGCATCGGGCACAGGGTGGACTCCACAGTCTTGGAGGTCGGTCTTTTCCAGCCTAAATGATTCTGTGACTCTGTGGCTACAGAGGGAAGGAGCTGAACAGCCATACCAGAGTCCTGGCACAATTCTGGCATGAGAACCACAATTCCCAAGTTCCCTCAGTGGCAGGAAAAACTACAGTGCTGAGCCCAGCCAGCCAGGGGAACTGGGCAGTGCTGACTGTCACAGCTCATACCAACACTGATTTATACCCTATGGAAAGGAAATGACCAAGTTCCTGCAGATTTACTCAAGATCACAAACTCACCAGACACCAGTCCCTGGTCAGCACTAAACTCCAGCTTAACTGAAGCAGTGTGATGTACTCAGGATTAGGCTGGCACTGTTTAAAGCTGCCTTGATACACTGTGTAAATTTTATTGTCTTTACATCAGGCACTGATGTTTTCACTTGGTCTTAAATAGGTCATTTAACACACAAAAGCTGCAAAGCACCAAATGGCCTGAAGCTCTCCAGAGTGGTGAGCAGGTCAGTTTATACCCATCTCTATTCTCTGCTGAGCAGAGATGGGCAGAGCAGAGGTGACATTCCACCCAGGAATCCTCAAAGATAAAATCACACACAGACTTTTCTCCAGGCTATCACCATCTTTGTACCTTCTCCTCAATTTCTGCAGCTGTCTGTTTAGTGATCTCCAAGTTCTCCACCAAGGCTGTGTCTCCCAGGAAATTCCCAGATGCTGATGACAGCCGAGAGAGCAAGTTGTCCTCTAATGTTTTCAAGGTGATCTTGAATCCATTCTGCTGCTTTGTGAGATCTGACTGCAAATGAGAAATTCAGAAAGTTTTAGCCACCAAACACGTGGTAAAGGAAGAATTAACCAACTTCCCATGGGAATAGGCTTCTCACTGACAACTGACACAGTCCAGTAGTGCTTATTCCTGCTCTCTGCAGCTCCTGGGAATGGGTGGAGCTCTGGGATCACTCCACATCCAACAATCCATCAACTCAGAGAAACCTTGAACAGCACAGAAAGCACCAGGAAAGCTGAGCCCTTTTCACTAGGAATGCATGAAAATGCAGGGAATGAAGCAGGAAGAAAAGACCTTTATCCCCACCTCAAACACATCTCCTGTATATCTGTCCCTGATTCAAGTCAGACTGGGCAGTCCCTCTGCTCCTCTCCCCACCTGATAAACTTGCTCCTCCTCACCCCACCAGTCACACCAGCAATGGGGCCACAGGGATAAGACCTGATGGCAAAACCAGCAGCAAAGTCCCTGAGGCCCTGAGGAGAACACAAGATGCACCTCAGGCTCAGGACTGAGGGCACAGCCATGGCCTCACCTGCTGCTGCTCCTGCAAACTCAGCACAGGAAGGCCAAGCAGATACAACCCAGTACAACCATCCTGCCTCAGAGGCACATTTATGAATCATACAGTAAATTCCTCCCATTTCTCTGGTCCCTACTCCCTCTCCCCTGCACAAGCACCATCATTAATGCTGTTCATGGTGGAAACAAAGATTCTCATCCATGTCCTTTCTAAACTGTTCCTCCAGAACAGGCTTGATCCCATGAAATGTGATTGCCCTCTTCTGTGTGTTTGCTCAGAGAAATGGCCTCTCTCCTGGATTTCAGGTATATTATGTTATTCCATGATATGGCTCTATTGTGCATACCTATTTTTAGACTTACCACAGAAAACATCCTGTGGGAAGGCTGTGCCTCTGGCTGGGATGCTGCTGAAGATCTAAGCCTGGTGACTATTCTCTGCATCAGTGAAGTCAGTCACTAACACCCTGCTACATAAAGCACTACAGTTTAAATCCTCAGACCGTGGTTAAGTGGCACAACCAGGAAATTCAAGTAACTTTAAGAGTGTTTTATAGCCCTGCAACCCACCCAGCTCTGTAGAACAGCAGATGTGGGACATGTGGAATTGAAACAAGTTCTGGGCAACTGGCTTGTGACAGATTCAGTCTCATAAACCAAGTGATCCAAGGCTCCAAAGACAGTTTTGGGAAAATATGTCCCCCTGTAGAGTCTGGAATGAGAAATGTGACCCTTTGCCTCTCCCAGCCCCACCGTGCAAGAGGGAGCCCACAGGATTTGCTCTGCTGGCAGAGGTTTCCCAGCAGATGAACTGACTCTGTCATTAATAACTCATCTCTCAACATTTGGGCTGAAGTTTCCTGTACTTGCTGTGCACACATTCCACGTTCGTGGCAAATCTGGTGCTCAGCAGGGTGGGCACTGAAGTGTGCCTGCTGTTGGTGTTTCAGCTGGAAAAGGCTGTTTTGAAGACTTGTTACATAGGCTTTCCACCCAGGAACTGGCCTGTGGTGATAAATATTTTACAGGTCTTCAACCAAAAAACAAACAGGGCTAATTCTGTGTGTTCCTGCCATTCAAGCATAGCAAGCCTTGAAAAATGACATTTGCAAGCTATTATTCAACCCCTTGGATTGTTAGCCTGGAGTTATTAATGAGGAGGGGGGTAGATTTTTGCTCCAATAGCTTGTAATCCCCACTCAGTTCTGGGAGCACCCTCAGAAGTGCAGGCAGCTCTGGATACCCCCCCAGCACCTGCAGCTTCATCCTGCCATGGTTTGTGACAGCAGCAGGGTCATGGTTCCTTATTTGTGCAGTGGAGCTCATTATCTGTTATTTCATAGCTGATACATAACAGGGACACCTTCCATCAGCCCAGGTTGCTCCAAGCCCCATCCAACCTGGCCTTGGACACTTCCAGGGATGGGGCAGCCACAGCTTCTCTGGGCAGCCTGTGCCAGGGCCTCCCCACTCTCACAGGAAAGGATTCCTTCTCAATATCTGATGCTGCAGAGCACCTGAGGAAGAATCCCAACACTGTCCATCACAGCCTGGCTGTGCAGGGATTTCACACACACTTCAATAATCAAACAGTTGGAGTTGATGGAAGAGACCTGAAACCAGCCCTGGTGACACAGCTGGGGCAGGGCAGTGCCACCAGCACATGGAGCAAGTCATCCCCACCAAAGGGAATTGCAGATATGACCAGATAAAGGCCAGACCTGAGGGGGAAGGTCTTGGGGTTTGGCTTTGCTTGCCTTGGCCCAAACTGGTTTGAGCTTCTCTGAGCTGTGACTGTCTCACTGCCAGGTCCTGCTGCCTCACTCTGGGCCAGCCTGGTTTTAATGTCCAGTGAGAGCAAGGAGATGTCCTGGACAGGCTGATCTGTCCCCAGAACCACCAGCATCTAGAGTGTCACCCTAGAAGATGGCAGAGCTTCAAAGTAAGGAGGGACAGAAAGATGGATAACTGGGAATCAATGAAGACAGAGATCATTGGAAACAGGCTGTGTTGAGCAACTCTTTTAAAAAGGTTGGTGTTGTTGGAATTGGATCGGTAATAGCTGTTTGATGGATTTGGATCAGGTTGTTAACAATAAATCCTGGGCTCCACACAGAAGGTGTGCTCTGAGCTCAGTAACTGTTGTGCAGTGCTATAGGAACCACCTCCATCTGCCCTTGAACCGGAGCCCCAAACCTTCCCAACCATTGTCCCTTTAGTCCCAGGGTGGAGAGGATGGACTAATACACACCTAGAGAGGTGACCTCTCCTTTGGGGAACCCAAACATCCAAATCTGGGCCTCCAAGGAGCTCCCCAGTGATCAGATCCAGCCCTGGGGCAGAAGGTGCTGAGCCCCTGCCCGGCCCACCCATGCCCAGGAGTCACAGCTCTGCCTTTAGCCCAGCAGGGAAGAGATTTGTCTGACTGACTGTAGGCCACGCAGCAGAACATCTGGAACATCTGGAACACCTGGAACACGAGACTGCCTTCCTCCTCTCTGATCCTGACCGCCCTGGGGCAGCAGGGCTGGAGCAGAATGGGAGCAGATGAGGGAGGAGAGAGATGGTGAGCTCTGGTGTTATCTTGTTGTGGGGGTAGAGAGAAACAGAACTTAAATATTCTTAAAAATAAGGAAAATGCCATCCCACACCAACTGTGTCAGCCCAGCACAGAGCCCTCAGACCAAGGGCTTTGTGTCCTTCGTGTCCCCAGAGAGACAGTCACAGCTCACACATTAAATCACTTTATTATGTATTTTTGAGGCCATCTTTTGGCTCATTAGCACATGAGCCTGGTTCAAACTCAATGCATCATTAAGGCTGCCCAGTTAAAGCACTTCAGAACCTCATTAAAGGGAAAGGTCATTACAAAACCGGCCTGGCCTGACTGAACCTGTGCAGTAAATTTATTCCCACTCTCAGAAAATATTTAGTATCATACATGTTTGTTTGATCATTAAAAGTGTCATTAGAATAGAGGATTTTCCTTATAGAATTATCTTGAAATTGAAGCCATACTTATTAAAAGAGAGAGAGAGGACTGTTACAAAGAAGTGGGAGGAAGAACCAGGACAGGAAAATGTCATTACCAACCTCACAATATATACACAGAGAATCCTATACCATAAATGCTGAAAATTGAGATTAATCCTGCCTCCAAAATTAAAACTGTGAAGTCCAGGAAAACCTGATATAATGGGAATCTCAGTTTCCAGTCACAGGAGAAGGAAAATAAAGTGACTCGTACCCAAATACTGGGAGAAAAAACTTGAAATTGCAATACGAATGTTGCCAAAATACCTAGAAATACCTAGAAAACAAAGGAGTGAAGGAAAAAAAATCGAGGGAAACTCGAGAGAAATCTCCTGATTTTATGACAAGTAATCCTGGTAACCTTCCAGGTGAAATGCTGTTTTCTTTACACTGCAATAACAATAACAATGATGATGAAGATAATAATAACAATAACAATAATAAGAAGAAGGAGCAGCAGAAGCAGCAGAAGAATTAGAATCAGAAGCAGCAGCAGAAGAAGAAGAAGAAGAAGAAGAAGAAAAAGAAGGAGAAGAATGAGATGATAATAATAATAATAATAATAATAATAATAATAATAATAATAATAATAATTATTATTATTATTATTATTATTATTATTATTATTATTATTATTATTATTATTATTATTATTATTATTATTATTATTATTATTATTATTATTATAGTGTATTCTTGCTCCCAGTGTAAACTGCAGCTCCTGACCTTAAGCTCCTCCAGGTCAGGCCTCTCCATGCTGACCACAGCTGCCAGCAGCTGCTCCTCCAGCCCGTCCCTGGTGACGGTGAAGTTGATGAGGGTGCACTGGGCCTGCAGCTCGGGTGGGAAGTGGGGGTTTGCCAGCTTTGTGTGCAGGATGAGACGGAAGGTGGGGCTCAGCTCACACTCTTTGTCCCCAATCTTGATGTACCTGCAATGAGAAGATGAGCCAGGAGGGGGTTCACCCCAGAACAGATGGAGGTCTCGGGCAGTGTCACCAACCAGGACTGGGCACTCCACACACAAATCACTGTTAGAGCAGAAAGCATTAAAAATGGCAGTGACACCTGAGTCACCTCTGATTTAGGAGAACAGCCCCAGAAAGCTGCCCGTGCATCCTGGATCCCGTTTGAGAAGGTTCCCATTTTCCAGCAGCAGGGACACTCCAGCCATGAACCCTCCTGGCTATTGAGAGGGGCTGAATTCTACCTCAAGGTTGGAGTTACAGGGAGGAAAAGCCCCTCTGCAATGAGGGCATGGGTTTGATACTCATATGGGCCATTCACTGAAGAGCTGGACTTGATGATCCTTGTGGGTCTCTCCCAATCCAGAATACCCGGTGATAAATCTGTGGTAACTTTTCATTGGTCACATCTAGAAGTTGCCCAGAGTCTGTTGGCTCTGATCAGGCCAACTCTGCAGTTGCACTGAGCTTGAGCAGTGAAGCCACATTTGGACAGCAACTGGTGGCCATTCAAAGAAGGCAACATCTCCCAGGAAAACCCAACCTCCTCCTGTTCTGCACTTCTGACACGAAGACTGAAGCTCACAGCAACATGCTCTGAACCCAAGTTTAACCCTGCCCCGAAAGCCAAACAAATCCTGGGCTGCATCAAAAGCAGTGTGGACAGCAGGTCAAAGGAGGTGATTGTCCCCTCTACTCTGCCCTGGCGAGACCCCACCTGAAGCACTGGGTACAGAGCTCCCAACATGAAAAGCACATGGAACTGTTGGAGTCCAGGGGAAACCATGAAGTTGCTAAGAGGACTGGACACCTCCCCTGTGGAGACAGGCTGAGACAGCTGGGGTTGTTCAGCCTGGAAGAGTGAAGGTTTTGTGAAGACCTAATTGTGACCTTCCATGGGCTACAGGGAAGGTGGAGAGGGACTGTTTATCAGGAGCTGGAGTGACAGAATAAGGGAAATGGATTCAAACTAAAAGAGGGCAGGGTTAGATGGGATAATAGGAGGAAATTCTTCCCTGTGAGGGTGGGCAGGCCCTGGCACAGGTTGCCCAGAGAAGCTGTGGCTGCCCCATCCCTGGAAGTGTCCAAGGCCAGGTTGGACGGGGCTTGGAGCAACTTGGGACAGTGGAAGGTGACCCTGCCCATGGCAGGGGTTGGAACTGGAGGGTCTTTAAGGTCCCTTCCCACCCAAACCATTCTATGATTCTATATTAACAAAGCCCATGGGAACCAGAGACCAAGAGAAACTAGAAATGCTTTCAGGGCTGCACTGGGACTGCTGCAGGACTGGTGATGTTCCCAGGGGAGTTTAAACACACTCCTTAGCCAGACATCACTCACTTGATGTCCTTTTGGCCTCTCAATTACTTTTACAGCTGTGAAACAGAGACAGAGAGAAACCACCCAGTACAGGAACCAAAGGGACTCTGGGACTGACAGCATCTGTCCATGGGGTCTGGGCTCGTGGCCTGGAAACACGAATCCCATGGACTTTCTATGGGCTTTATAATTTATCTCCCCTTCCTTAGGAAGCACATGATCCCACAGGGGGTTCTGAGAGCAGAGACATACAGCCCCAAAAAGGGGATGACTGGGTGTTTCACTGGAGGGGGGATGAGGATTGGCACCCTCACTGCTCTACCCCCAGCTCAACATTCTCCAGCACTTCAATTCCTTCCCTGGAACTGATTCTCCCCCTCCATCCTGCAGCCAAACCCATGCTCAGCCACCCTTCTCACAGTGTTTTCCCCTGCACACTTTGCAGACAGTTTGCCTTGCCCAGCAATTTACAGCACTCTGGGGTATTTTAGGCAAGTCAAGAAATAATTCTTAAGAACTTAAGGACAAAGTGAGCTCCCTTGCTGCCCCTCTCTCTGACCTCCTCTGGGCTGGAGGGGCCCAGAGCTGCCATGGAGAACTTGACCTCATTAAGAAACACTTTATATCCTTGATGCTCAAACCTGGAGTTGTGTTCCTGAACTCTGTGCAGTGTTTGCTAAAATTCGAGTCTGCAAGAGCTATTTTGGTAATAATTTAGTGTCAGGACAGTGGTCACTGCACAGTGGGACAATTACAGGTCTCTCTTTTCACGTGAGGTTTGAATGACACTGTGCAATGCCACGAGAAATCCAGGTTGATTTCCAAGCCATCCTGTGTCTGAATTATCTGTGATTGCCTGACTTGAAAAGCCTTCACCCCTGAAGGTAGGATGTCACTGCTGCTGGATCTGAGGTGAGGAACAGAGAGCATAACACCCCCAGCCCCCACCCACATGTGCCACCAACCCCCCCCCCGCCCCAGCTCACCTGCCTTTCTTGATTGTTTCTCTCCCCAATAATGGTCCCAACACTGGATCCACAGATTCCTCCAGGTTTTCAATCAAAACCAGTTCTCCCGCAGCCAGAGCTCGTTCCAGCACGTCCAGGTACCTGTGGGGAGCAGCACTGGTAGGTACCTCCTGCAGCAGAGCAGGGTGTGATGCTGGTATTGAGGAGGATGTGGGGACAGAGAGGGGTCCACACAGCTACAGGCACATGAGTGGAGAGGAGAGGGGTAAGAGGGGGCCAAGGTCTGATGCAGAAAGTGGAACTTACAGACTCTCAGCTGTCCAAAAAAGAGAATGAGGTCTCAGAGCTCCAAGGGCAAGCAGTGGTCACTATGACTTTCCCAAGAAGAGTCTGGGCATCAGTGAGCAAAGCTGCAGTTGTTTTAGCAAATACCTTTTTCCCTCCAGAACCCATTGGTGCAGCTCACCTTATTTTGATCCCAGATCAGACCCAGTAACTCATTATTTTCTAGGAGGGAAGCTGAGGAGGCACCAGCAAAACAACCTGGGCAACCACAGAGGAGGCACCAGTGAAACGTGGGCAACCCCAAGACATCTCCAAATCTACATGAATTTTCAAGCACCAGGTTTGGGCCACTCTTGGCTGTTGCCAGTGCTTTGCTCTGTATTCAAAACCAACCTCAGTGCTTGGACATCTCAGCAGGGTTTTGACTCTGGGGCTTCTCACTAGTGGGCAGAGATGGGTGCAAGCTGATACAGCAGGAGAGCAGTTTGAGGGCTGACTGGAAATAAGAGCCAGGAGTGGAAAAGCCTTCCTATGAAAGATTTATCCAGATCAATGCAGAGGTGCTGCAGTGAGAATGTCCAGCTGGTGTCAAGTGGGAGCAGCATCAGCCCAGCTGGTCTGCAGGGCATGGTGACCCTTCTGACAGCTTGGTTGTCCATGCCCAAGCCCTCTCCCTCTTTCCAAGAGGTAGGAAGCCCTGCTCACCCTCCTGGATGAGACTAAACCAGGACATGACACCTACAACGAGCCTGATGGAGGACACCACAGGCCTGTTGCCCAGAGGAGCTGTGGCTGCCCCATCCCTGGAATTATTCAACACCAGGTTACACCGGGCTTGGAGCAACCTGGTCTGGTGGAAGATGTCCCTGACCATGGCAGGGGGTTGGAATGAGTAGAGTTTTAAGGTGCCTTCCAACTCAAGCTGTCCTGGGATTCTGTGACACACAGAGCTCTCCTCAGCACACAGCTCA